GACCCTCTCCAACAGTTCCCTGTCTTTCTTGTACTTGGGGCTCCAGACCTGGACACAGTACTCCAGAAACACAAAAAAGCTGGACACAAATCACTTGTTTTGTGACTTGATGTCACAACATATGCGGCTTCCTTTTGGCATCCATTGCTGGGAAGCCACCAGGCCTCTAACTCACTCCAGGCAGTTCTCCATGGCCTGGGAACAAGACGACAGGCCGGGTTCTCCCCAGCCTGAGCAGAGACAATCTTCCCAGCCCAGCACTGTTTCTCTTTAGGAGTTCCAGCAGAACACCTTAGCTCAAATACATTACCATGCAGGCATGGTGCCTACTGTGTGCACAGCCAGCCTGGGGCCTCCGCTGTGGCAATGCAGCCATGCATTTTGGGACCATTGCCAGGACAGATTAGGCATGAACTCACCATGTATAATTGAGGTATTGAAACTAGACACCACAGTGAATTTGGTTTTGCCAAGAACATCGTTAGCACTTAAAAAACAAACTGGCAGAACTCCCATGGGACTTCTGCGCAGTCAGTAGGAGAAACTGGGATGCACAGAGAGCAATTCCCCCTGCCATGTATGGTTCCTCCTCCTCTGGCTGCCTCCCCCCCTCCCCCAGAGATGTTGTTTTCCTGCTCTAACTGCAGAGGCAGTTTCCAGCTTCTAAACCTTCACACACATGAGTGAGGAAGGACTGTTAGGGCACAAGCGGGGGGTGTGTGCGCCCAGGAATGTCTCTGCAAACCCTCAACATCTGTAAGTGCTTACGTGCACGTCAGGCAGAAGCAAAAGTAATTCTGGAGTGCGTTAAGTCAGTATGAGGGATAATGGCTCTTTACTGTTTTTGACCCTGTGGTGGGGCAATTCCCTTGATATTGCACAGAAGGAAAGAGTTAATTAGGTGCCAGGCTGACTGGGAGCCACATACTTGGAAGCCTTACAAAGCCTGATGTGGCTGGGATAAAAGACAGGCCCTAGGTAAACAAAAGTAGGAGGCTTTCATCTGCTGAACCTCTTCACTGGCCCACCATTAGGGAAGAGAGAGATTTCCCAGATAGGAAGGACAGGCTCTCAGTGGAAACTTGAGATCAGCGGTGGCCTGGGACTGAACAGGTCACAGCATAGGCGAGGAGCACTGCTTTCGGCTCACAGCACGGAGGGATGGTGCTGCCAGGTACCCCTAAGCCTGTGCAGGCCACAGCCCAGCTCTGCACACCTCACCACTGAGGGACAGGCAAGAAGAGTTCCTGTTCCTGTTACTGAAGGCCCCAGGTGCAGTTTCCACAGACAGCCGCCTTCAGTGTCTTTATGTACAGAAAGCCATGGTTAAAAAGACGTACTTTTACATGAGCTGTTGGAAAACATTAAAAGATAACTTTTCTGTGTATGTACATACACACTCTGCGCTGATAAAAAGTAGCTTTTTATTACAGGATTCCAACTGGAAGCTGGAAGCTGCTAATATATCTCCTGCCATTTGGTTTTTCTATATTATGCGGTCTCAAGAAATAAAGAGGAGAACGAGTGTCTGAGTTCTCCTGCATTTCCTGCCAGAATGAATGAGATCCTCTCACGTTCGCCAAGAACATAAAGATCACTTAAAACACAAACTGGCAGATTTCCGATCTGCCTCCACCAAACACACTGCATTTCCCAATTTCATAAAAGTGCTTTTCTCCCTAACAGAAGACGGTGATGATAATCATAGCAATCAGTCCAAAATACAAACAGGATGTGGAAGGGGCTGAGTCCCAGCTGGACAGGGATGAACACGGCTTACATACTAAATACATCCACAGGATGGTAAGCAAGGACATGCATTTGCTGCTTTACAAAGACTCCCTCTCTTCTTCTGAAAAGACAAATCTGTCTCCAAATGGCAGGTTCTTTGCTTTGTTTTCACTAATCCCCATAGTTAAACACCCCCCTTTGGAATTCATTAATCCTCCCTCTCATCAGCTCCCTATGCTCATTAACATCTGCTAAGAGGTTCAAGAAAGAAAAATCCTATTAAACACGCACATCTCATTCTTCCATATTCTTTTTTGTTCCATGTTTTTTTCTTCCTTCACCTTCTGGAACCCACACTGCCCGGCCATATAGGCCTGGGCACAACCTCATCTAATGCTGCCTGGCCTTCCCCCCTGTGAACTAGTCCCTATCACTTTGTATCACTTCAGCCATCCTGTAACTGGGGTCTTCTCTGGAGCAGCTCTAGACCTGGTTGAAACACGGGATTGCGAGGCAAAGAAAGGACAGAGCTGCAAAGGGAGGGCCCTGGTGACATAGGTAGCAGGGGATTGCTGCAGGACGTGGGACCTATCATCTCAGCAATCTGCAGTGGGATAGAGAGCTCAGAATTGTGTACAGAGCCACACAATTCATCCTTTCTCCTTGGATCTGCAGTTTCCCTCCTTTCTTACTCCAGGCCCGTCTCCCAGTTTAATCCTGCAGTCCAGCATCTCAGAAGCTGGCACCAACAGATGAATTCACAGCAGAATTGTGCTCTTCTCACTGCTCATGGGAGTCTGTGCCTCATTCTGCCAGTGTCCTGGGGATATGGGGACAGGCCAAGCCCCACACGCGGGAAAGGCTTGGGCCTAGCTTGAACACAGACAGTGAACAGGGGCCTTAAGCTAAGCTTCATTGGTTCTAGAGGGATTTCATGGGACTGAAAACTGCAGCTAAAACCACAATTATTTCATACCACAGAAGTAAATGCTCAAATGTTGACAGATCTTTCCTGTATTCTTTCCTTTCCTGTATCCTGTAGTAAAGAAGAATTTAATTAAGTGGCCAAAAAAAAAAAAAGAAAGATATCTAGAGTCCACCAGCATTAGATCAGATCACTTAAGAGCAGTTTAAGTAAGCAGTGAATGTTTTTATGCATAGGATTCAGCTGCATGCAAAGACAAAGCAACACAACCTTCATCACAATAAATATGGCAATTTGTTCTGTTGTAGATGCAGATTGAGTTCATACAACAAGGGAGCATGAACTTCAGATTCATCCCTGTGCTTTTCCCAAATGCCAAAAAGGTAACATACATGCATATATATATTTTTGTCAGATCATTAGACACATGTTATTTTGATCTCAGTGCACCAGAAGAAACCTTAAAAACAAAAAAACTTCTTGGTTCTTAATATCCCTCTGGTAATATTCCAGCTGTATTTTACATGAGAAGTTTACAGTTTTATGTACACACAAATAAAAGCATTTTATCCGCAATATAAATCAGTACATAAATGTATTTCTGATGATGAATGTGTAACTAAAACTCAAATTGTCTCGAGCATTGAAAGAATTTCAATGGAGAGAGACCATCTATCCAACAAGCATGCTTTTTGTATTAACCCTTTTATAATTTTGTCCAGATGTAATGCTGATGAGTGGGATGGGGGGAGATTTATGGCTGATGTGAAGTGAGGATCTGGAAAAGGGTGGGTTGAGAATATAAAAATAAAGAGGATCATAAATATTAAAGTGCTAGGCCATTGCTTGAACTTTGATGGGCCCATCAAAGGCAAACAGAATGTTTTTTTAGGACTTGCAATTCCTTTGGCGTTCCTTACTGATTAATTTGAGAGGAAGAAGTTTATAAGGCAGTAGGTTCCCTTATCCTTCTTCCTCATGCTGAGAGAACCTGCTGGATTTTTACAGGGCCAGAAAAGCTAAATGGCTTCAGTTATCATTGAGAAATGGCATTCTTCCTCAGACTTGTAATGGATATTCTTGTTCACTTTTCATCACTAAATACTGTGTGCACTGTTGGGTAGCTGTCACGTTACCCCTAGGTACAGCTGCGTTTTGGAGGAGGGAATTCAGATTCTTTATATTCATTTGGGTGCCCAGAGTTTGTATCCTAACATTTCTACAATATTGTCACTGAGTGAGTGTAGGGCTGAGAAATCCCACAGCACTTGCGGATTTCAGTGTCATATAAGCTCAGAAGTTTGAAAACATGTGCTAGAGTTTGTGAGATTCTTTGTAATGAGCGTTACCCCTGGTATTTTATGTCATTCCACTTCCTTCACAAACATTGCTGGTCTGTTACTTGCATTAACTGTGCAAAGCCCAGTGATGGGACAGGTGGGAACCAAGCAGACCAAAGGCAGTGACTGGTTTGGTATTTTCGGTCAGCCTGGGGGCAAAGGGCAGGGCTGCTCCTGGCCTCAGGGGCTCCTGGAGTGCCTGCTGTGCGAGCAGACCCTGCAGCCCGCAGCCACTTGGCACAGTAACATTGGGGCCACAGAGACGCTAGAGCCTTCTCTGGGCCTCAAGACAGACACAAGAACAATAAACTTAGTTTTGGTTGAACTTTATGTGTCAAAAAACTATTTAGTATATAGCAGCAGCTCTCAGATAGTGAACAAGGAATTTCCAGGGTTGGTTGATTCAGCTGCTGCTATCAAAGCAGCAGTTCCCAGGCAGCCTTCCTGCCTATCACTCCGCAGTCCACATCACCCTTCAGCTTTTCCAGGGCTGCCTGTCTCAGCTGAATTATGGAGAGCAGCATTTTCTGTTCAGGCTTGGTTTCCTTGCTCATGCTCGTCTTTGGTGGACCTCTGCCTCCCATCTCACTGGTCAGTGGAAACATGACTGAGAACAGCCAAGGTGGTGGGTACAGCAGTGCCAGGGGCTTGGACACACTGCAGTGACACAGGCAGCCAGAGGTTAGGTACCAATGTTTGTAAAACCTGTACCATTCCAGGGGTGGAAAATGCCACATATATATAGAGTCAGATGATTCATTTTGTCTTTTTTGCTCTCCCCTTTTTTCTTTGTGTTCAAGTACCGTTGTACCTGGCAGTGGGAAAGAGCAGGGAAGCAGTTTGGGAGGTTTCATTTGGGGACGTGGATACTAGCTGAGTTAATCTCATCTGAAGTACACCATAAAGCACTGATGGTATGTGAAAGCTAGTTGGCCTCCAACGGGAAAGGATCTGTGTGAGCCAAAGAATGTTCATCAGGAAATTGAATAATGAGGGGAAAAAACGTGACACACAGTTAAGGTGGAACTGGCATTTCCAGCTTCCCGTCACACACTGATAGAGGAAACCTGGGTCTTGCTTGTTCGAGGCTTGCATCAAGCCAACCAACATAAATGTTCCTTCCTGGTTTTCTCACCACTGCCTGGTGTGCTCAGCTGTGAGTGCCCCAGGATGACTGCTGCTGGCAGAGCTGTGAGCAGAGCTGCTCTGAAGCATGGCTTAAAGCAGGCTCCACAATACAGCCCTGAATGGACGACCCTACCCTTGGCACTGACACACTCTACCCTGTTCCTATTACACGATCCATAAAGTTATCAAACACTCTTTCTGCACTGCTCAGAATTTCCTCTCTGCTAACAGATACAGATCTGAATTTAAAGCAAGGCAGTAACCCTTTTCCCATTACTCTCTGATCTGGTACAACAGCTGCTGTCACGTGCTGAGAGAAGAGCCACAGCTTGACAGAGTCCCCTTCTAATTTTCTCCACTCTTTCTGGACCCAAATAATACACCTGCCCTGCACACCTCCTACACGTTAAAATTACTGCCTGGGTTGATGAGTGCCAGTGCTTATTGCACCAACTTCACTATGGAGGACACTCAATGCAATTGGCTGTAGGACCAGCTCTGGCAGACAGCGTGCAGCCCGTCTCTGGACATAGAGTGCCTCTGTTGTTATATCCCCACTTGCCAGCTTCTTACTTACCATCCATTTCTCACACTAATTTCCATCTTTCCAAGCTTAACTAATGATTTCCCATGTGGACTTACATCACATGCTTTGCTGAAGTACAGATGGACTGGGTCTACTGCATTTCCTTCCTCCAAAAAATGTAGTTTCTCATCAAAGACAGGTAGAGATCTCATTTGGTAAACCTGTGCTGCATTTTGTCGCAGCTTGGCAACATGCTGCCCTGCTAAATAGTGGGTCCCGAGAGCAAGTACTAGATGCCTTCACTGCTAGTTGCTTACCTTGGAATCACAGAATGATAGAATCCTTAGAATTGGAAGGGACCTTTAAAGGTCATCTGGTCCAACTCTCCTGCAGTGAACCAACCTTACCTGCTTGCTCACTCTGGCTTCATGCTGGTGCCTCCAGCAAGGGCTCTCCTAAAAGAAATGTTTATTACCACAGTGGGCGTGAGCTGGTTTTGGTAAAGGGTCAGCCCTTGACCCTCTTTTAATTAGGGATAAGAATACAGCCCTCCTCACCTCCACATCCACATGTTTGTATGGAAACCTCCCAGGCTACGAAGACATAGGAACGTGGAGGCTGAGCTTGCCACTCTCCCTCAGCCCACCACCACAGTGCAGCAATGGTGGGACGATGGTCCCAGCTCCATGATGCTAACAGACACTGGCCAGCCCATGTGACATGCTGGGAGTGAGGAGGTTGCCCCTGCTCATGTAGAGGTGTGTTAGCCTCCTCTCGCACTCAGCACTAGACCTGGGAGGTGGCCAGAGGACATTCAGCTTGGCAAAGCAGCACAAGGGAACAGCACTCAAGAAAACCACTGGGATGAGAGGAGCTTCCCTCTGGATTCTTAGGATTGAACACACAATGTAGATCCATCGGCAGCTAAGGGAGAAACATGGGCTGCAGCCTGGTAGGGGCACCTAAATGTGCACTTCTCTCCTCAGTGTTTATTTTCAGGAGCTCTTTGAAGCCTGTCATTGAGATCAGAATCCCTTTGAAATATGGTGAAATCAGCCAACATGATGGCAGTAAGGAAAGAGAGACAGGCAAGCTGTGAGATCGTACGGAGTTCATTTATTTAGGAACCCAAATACAATTCTGAAGCCAAATTAAAATTTCTTGTTGTTACAGAGTGTCTAGAACAGACAGAATGAAATCTTGCTTGGCAGAGTCTAATGGAATCTGCAAAATTCTGGTACAGATTCAGGAGAGCTTATGGGATTTCACTTTTTTCTTGTTCTTCAGGAGCACGTGCCTACCTGGTTGCAGAACACTCACATTTATACCTGGCCAAAGAACAAGAAGAACATCCTCCTGCGGCTACTGAGAGAGGAGGAATATGTTGCTCCTCCAATAGGACCTTTACCAACACTCCAGGTTGTGCCCTTATGAACATTATCTCTTAAAGTGCACGAGAAGCAGTTGTTAAAGGGTTGCTTTTGGCAGGGAGCCAGCACTTTTCCAGATGGCTCTTTTTGATGACAGAAGACACTGCTTCTGCTTAAGGAATCTTGGGTAGCTCAGGCTCTGCTTGTTCTCCACCACGTTAAACATCTATTTCTGAAACTGATGGGGCAGAACTCTTTTCTCCTAGGTTTTTAAAAAAGCTGCAAATGGAATGAATGCCCAACTTTATCTTAACATCTGTTTTTAACATATCCCTTTATTAGTCGATACAGCAAACAAATACCAGAAATAATGTTGCAATAAATGTAAAATAAAAATTACATCCTCCTTTTTGCTCAGGTATTCTTTATAGATATCCCTGCCTTGTACAGCATTATCAGACAATTAATTTGTACATGCACTATTAAATATATTTGCCTTTTGTAAGGCTATTTTATATGTTGCCTCAAGTTTTTACTATTACTGGGAATGATGGGGAATGGTAACTGTTGAGTAATGCAAGTTTTACTTAGACTGTCTTGCACAGAGACAAAGTCTTGAATTAGAGGACTCTTGGATCTGAAGCCTCTGGAGTTCCATTTCCTCAGAGCACAGTCCCTAACACCTTCAGCATGTTACAGCAACAGTCCACAAAAGGACAGCTAAATGTATTACTGCGTGTGCAGTCAGTACCATGGAATGCTGAAGTACTTTTATAGTGGGCTTTTAGCTTCATTACTGCTCTTCATCCCTTATTTGAAACAGAGCATGTCAAAGAACAATTGCCATTTGGAAACCAGCGGTTGTTAAGAGAAATAACATTGACTCCTACAACTTGTATGCAGTACGGAACAATAAAATAATCAAAGATGTTGGAGAGCTGTGGGGTGCTGGCAACCAAGAAGGCTCAGCAACTTCACATCTGCTAAAGTCTGAGTGTGTTTTTGCAGAGAACATAAGCACTACTTTGGTGAGGGTTCTTTTGTTAACTGCTTTAACCTTGCTGAGATAACAGTGAACCCTGTTGGCTTGAAATCCCGCAGGCATTATTGTTAGAGTAGGCATACAAAAACCTCCTGCTCTGGTGCAGAGCACTCCATGCCTGTGCAATACAGGCTCTTTCCAAGATCCTCTTCCACTTTATTGTTTGTTACCGAGTGACCCAAATACAGCTTCATGACAAAGTAAATGTGTTTAGTTCTCTGAAAAGTAAATTAACCAGAAGCTGATACTCCTGTTACATTGCCCAAAATATTTAATTAGCTTTCCATGAAGATCGTGCTAGTGTGGTATGTCAATACAGGATGTGCTTCATGGTGCTCATGAGGAACAATTACAGCACTATGTTGCAGATACCCTCATAGATTTTCCTTTTGCATAAAGAGTTACAGCTGCCTAAGAGAACTAGGAGAAGGGTGGTTCCAGTGTTGTCAGATCTCATAATTTTCATTGTGATATTTGCTGTGCTTCTCCCCAGTTTCTAGAGAGAAATCTCATAGCCCAGCAACTGAAAGAGGCTCATACTCAGCATGCTGGCAGTTTCCTGACAAGGCACAACAAACTTCTATTATGCAGCAGCACTTCTTGCTACCTACACATGGGAGAGTGGGGAGGGGATGTCCCATTTTTTCCATATGATAAAATGAAAAGCTAAGTTTCCAATTAAGAAAATAACTTTCTAAAACTATGACAGAAATCCTTCTTAAAAGGTCAACAAAGTGAATACAGAGGGAGGGGGAAGAGGGGGGACTTAGTTACCTAAACATTGGCATTTAGGGTCACTCAGAGTGCTGCACAACTTTAAGCTCAGATTCCAAGTGCTGTTCTAGAAAATGCAACTTTCTTGAAGTGCTGCTGTTTATCTGCCACTCCTGTATGGCTGTCTCAGGTACTTTAACATATCTAAAGTATTTTAACACTCAAAAATAATTCTGGGACTCAAAACATACATTTTGTAGGAATATGTTTGAGGGAGAACAGACAGGGTAGGGGACTTGAGGTTGGAAATGCAGGATGTCATTTGGCAACAAGACCATGGCAGAAGAAGTTGAACCAACTGGGCCAGGGAAACCCCAGCAGGAAATAAACCCAAGGGCAGGCATGTTCAATATGGAATGACGATGATTCTTGCTACCCTCTGCAAATATAAACTAGATCTAATAGCTAGAAGCTGAAAGGACAAAAATACACACCTTGTATTCCCATTTTTAGTTTGGTTTCTAAAGAAAACATCTATCGATCAGCCTGTCTCAAACAGCTTCTGATCTCAAAAGCCAATTCCTTCCACATTTGATAGGTAGAAGCTCAAATAAATACAGAATAGAACAGAATGAGAATCATAGCCTTAGTGGGCAAGGACCCATAGGCAGCATCAAATCCAGCTCCTGGCTCCACACAGGATCACCCGAAATTCAAACCCTATGTCTGAGAGCGTTGTCCCAGTGCTCTTTGAACTCTGGCAGCCTGGGGTTGTGCCCGCTGCCCTGAGCAGCCTGTTCCATGCCCACCACCCTCTGGCAAAGAATCTTTTGCTAAGCCTCCCCTGACACAGCTCCATGCCGTTCCCTTGGGCCCTGATGCTGTCACATAGAGCAGAGCTCAGTGCTGTCCCTCTGCTCCCTGTGAGGAGCTGCAGCTGCCATGAGGGCTCCTGTCAGTTCCCCTGCTCTGGGCTGAGCAAACCCAGGGACCTCAGCTGCTTGCCACACACTTTGCCCTGCAGACCTTTCACCATCTTTGTAGTCCTCCTTTAGACGTTTCCTAATAGCTTTATGTCTCTCTAACATCGTGGCACCCAACGCACACCCAGCACTGGAGGTGAGGCTGCAGAGCAGGATAACCCCTCTCTTTGCCTGGTGACAGTGCTGGGCTGGGTACCCCCAGGTATGGTTGGCTCCCACAATGTACTTCGTGCCTACATATCAAGGACATAGTGAGTACCAGAGATCCCCAAGTCTGGCCTGGAGGAGAGGCACTGTGTGATGTGGGCCTCCACCTAGTCCTGAAGGTGCTGTGCTGGCCTGCCAGAGCTGGCAGGAATGCGAGCTCAGCCCTGTGTCCCCCTCACCAACCAGCCCCGGCCACAGCTCGGAGGGGGCTTTCAGAGTGCACAGTGTGGGTGAGGCCGGAGGGGAGAAAGCTGCAGGAAATGAGGCTGTGTTTGTTTTGCTGCTTACAAAGCCGCATATTAGGGAGAGCAGTTAAGCATTCAAAATGATTAGCAAGGCTGGGTAGTAAATTCCTTTCATCATTCTGGCTGTCATCCTAAAATATGTGCTCTAGATTTACCACAGATTTGCTTGGTTTGGGCCAGGGAATTTCATTAAGTAATTCCTGCATCATGTGATACACAAGGTTGCACTAAATGCTCCAGCGACCATTTCCATTCTTCTGTTTCAATGATCCCTGTCTGAAAAACAATGATAGCAGAATAAGGGAGAAAAATAAAGAGTCGGTGCTGAGGAAGTACAAAGAGCTCCATATATTTAACTGCTGGGGCATTTTTTTTTTAATTGAATAACAATTCCCAGGATCCATTGATCTTTACATTAGTTAGAGCGTCCTACAAGGACAGAAACCATGATGGGGAGAGTGTGAGTAATGAGCTCGCAGCCGAGTGAATCATTTCCCCTACAGCTTTGTGTTTGTAGAGAGACAGATGGTGGGAGCTGTGGAGAGGGAGAGGGAGGGGAAAGGCAGGTTTTTGCAAATAACACAAGTAGGGAGAGGACGGTGAAAAAGAAATAATCAGCAGGTAAGGGAGAAGGAGAGGCTGGAAACATGCAGGCTGCTTCAAAACTAACATGCTCGTGTTAAAAGAGATTAGGGTTACAGGGAAGTTTAGGAAGGAAATTACAGAAAACAAGAGCCTGGAGGCCAAGAGAGAAAAATATAACAGGAGCAGCCCTAGAAATGCATCTGTTAAGATCTCTTAAGTCAGTTATTAACTTTGTGTGCAAATTGTTGGGCAGTAGCTTTCAGCATGTGAGCGTTCCTCCCATGGGTGGGCACTGCTGCCAGCAGGAGCTGCTGAGCTGGGGGAAGAAGGCATTGCCTGGACTGCAGAGATACTGGGGGTTGTTCCCCAGTGCCTGCACACCTGTGGGGTGTGAGAGGGAAATGCACTGCCCAAACTGAGAGCAAACACTGGGATGAAGGCAGCATGAAGGGAAAGACAGAACTCACCGAGAAACAGCCTGTCTTGCAGGCTTGCCAGAACTCCAATGACATGAATGCGTGTGAAGATTTTTTATGCCAGCCACCTGTGTGACAGAAATACGATAGTAATGTTTTCATCCCACAAATAAACTACACTGGCCTCTCCAGCGAGGGAACCGTATGGTGGGTCTGGTACAAAGGTAATCCTATAAAACCTTGCATGCAAGACATGAAATGCTTCCAGAGCTGATTTTCTCCCAGAGAGCCCTTCTAGCTGCCATCACTTGGTGCCACTTAACAGAGCCGTGAGGCAGACATCCCCAGGACTGGTGGCAGGACAGGCAGGAAGCGGGCTGTGAGGCAGACTCACTGCAGGTACTGGTTGAGATTCCTCCCCAGCCTGCAGCCCAACTCGGGGCCTGGCTGCAAGGCAAGGCTGAGGAAATGCCTGGCCTGGCAGGGAACAGGGAGCTGCACGGCCTTTCACGAAGGCCAGCTGTGGTAAGGAAGGAGAGCAGGCCTCAGAGAGTGCTCAGCACGCAGAACAGGTGCGCGCTATCTCACAAAGCAAACATCTCTCTCGTTACTCTTTGGCTTTAATTTAACAGCTTCTCCCCTGCTGTCGCTTCTGTTTAATCTGTGCCAGTGGCAGATGACAGAGGTCCCCGCAGGCTGAGCTGAACACACTGGTGTGTGGTGACACCAGGGGTTCCCAGCAGCAGCCTCACACCTGCCCTGAGCTGTGGTGACAGAAGACGGCCATTTTGTGACACCTGCTCATGGCGGACAGGCCTCGGGACCTTCTCCAGCCTAACAGGAGGGTCCACGGAACCTCTGGCAGCTCACAGTGAACCCCAGCAGACTGGCTGCTGGGAAAGGGGTGGCTCGAGTCCTGCCGGGGCAAAAGACTTCCAGCGTCCCATCCGCAGGTCAGGCTGATAAAGTCCTCTCTGCTGTGTAACGCCAGCCTCCTGAGGTGGAAAAAGTGACATGGGAATGCCTCCAGGGACCATAGCAGCGTGTTTTTCTGGGGCTGAAGGAAAAGGTATCGTAATGCTAGGCACTGGACAAAAAATAATGATTAAAGTAGTTGATAATTAAAATTGATCTTTAAAAAATCATGACCACCACCACCTGCAATGAGCTCGTTCTGACTGTATTTCATTCTTTGGGTTTTCCACTTCTTCTAAAGGACTGTATTCTGGAAATACTATCTTTGAGGCTTTCTTCAAAGCTATCATCTTCTGCTTGGCCTAACAGCTCTTACAACACGTCCACTCTATTTTTCGTCAGCTACCTCCAGTTAAAACCCACTAAAGGTGATGTTTTGTGACTGGCATGTTTGGCAGCGCAATGCTCTGGTGTGCTGGCCTCAGGATTTTCAGCAAGCAGCGGGTGCTGCAGTGCTGTTAAAAAGCCTGCAGTCTTCAAAGGAAGCAATTTAGTCAGAAAAACTTCTAAAAAGATAACACTGGTGGGGATTGAGCTGAACAGTGCAGGAGTAGCTAATGCATTAAAGATTCTTTCATCCTTATGCTGGCAGAGAGAACTCAGCCTGGCTTGGTACCGACCAAAACCACCTGGGTTTGTATTCTGTAGCATCACTTAAATGCTCAGCAGATACTGTGTGCATCTCATTGACATGAAGGAATGTATACAGCTACATGCAAGCAACCCCCATTGCAGTCTTCCTCCCAAATTTTTCCTATAAACTGGACATACAGAAACACTGAGACCCAGTCTCAGTATCAATACAGAAGCCAATTTTTCTTTGATGCCTAATTAACAGCACTCTGAGGACAACCAACCGTTTCTCTTTTAAGAAGATTAAAGATATCCCTGCCAATAATGATTCCAGATGCTTAAAAGTGTCTTTCCCCATGTACAGGGCAATGGATAAGGCACTGAGAAATCATTTGGAAAAAGAAGATTTATCTCCACTTTACCACTGAATTGCTGCAGTCAGCAGAATGTTATCAACTCACTCTGCTCTGGGTTCCTTACACTAGAAGTGGAAATAAAGGCAAACTGGCCACTTAAGTAAAGTTATTATTTGAGACTTACTCAATAAAATACTACGTGCATACAAATAATTTTTATGTGTCCATTTTCCTCCCAGTCTATAATAGAGATGATTTTCCTGAAGCAGGGGCTGTAAAAAAGCTGAAACAGCAGAAACCCAGTAGTAAGAATGTCCCAAAAGAGAGATGAGATGGAGACTTTAAATAGGAATAATAGAAACTGGGAAGACAGACAGGAAGTATGATAAAGAGGAAAGCAATTATAAAGTAATCACACTGAAGGAAGTGGCAAAACCAACCAGCTAGCATAGATTTGTCTTCTTTTTGCGTTACATTATATTAATACATTATATTTTATTTTAAATGAGGTAAAATAATTTAGCATTTTTAAAACAAAGAGGAAAAAGACAGCAAAATGGTATTTTCCTTCAGGCTTCTGTGGAAACCAAACTACTGAAGCAGGAGTGTCCCTGGAATATAGCCATGGCAGTGCCAGCTTGGTGCACTGCTACCTCAGCAGTCATGACACTGATGGCTGTGTCAAGACAAGACAGCCAGGTTTAAAGTACCTGGAGAACACAGACAAGGGTCATCACCTAACTTGTCCAGCAGCACACTAAGTGAAAGCTGTTCATCTCAAGCCCGTATGTCTGTTGGTGGATGCAGGCCAGACTCCTTGCTGGGCCCAGGAGTAATATACGGGTTGCATTTTAGAGCTCTGTGTTGATCATGGACAAATAGGTTTCACCATTTTCTCAAAGCAATACCTGACAATACCATGGATTTTGTGACCTGCATCACTGGAGCTACCTGAGGTAAAAAAGGATAATCTGTATCAAACCAGCTTGCTGTCTTGTTTCTCTTGCCCATATTTCTCACTCCTGCATGCTCTCCTGTTTTTAATGTCTTAATGAGTATCTTGTCTCAAAACTACCTGATGCTTCTTGTTCCAGTGGCAATTTCCAGTACAAGAAGGCTCAGCCTGTGCATCCCCACCTAAAAGCAACATTCAGACCCAATGCTGCTCTCACATAAGCTTGAGGGGTGAAAGAAGAGGTGTACACCTCACATACAGAGTGTTGCCTGAGAAAGTTACCAGGGCATTTTTATGTGAAGGCTGGTCCAGGCTGTAACAGAAACTCTAGGCCATGGCCTGGAACAGTGATTGAACACCTGGTGGAAGGCAGGGCCAACCCAGGGGAGCTCAGGTGCATGCAGTGCACGTGAGTGACCAGAAGGGATGAAGCCAGGATCCACCCCTTCCTAGACCTCATTTAAGGGTTGCAGTGGATGCAAAGGTTTCTCTTTGGAGATCCCTGCCTAGTGGAGATTTTCTGAAGGTAAGCACTTTTCTTTCATTTCTGTGTCTATGCTGCTGCAGCCTTGGATTGTGGCACTCTGCTATTGTTGCTGTACATTTAATCACATTATAATATTACATAGGCCAGTGTAGCTGGTAGCAGAAAGGCAAGCATCTCTATGCCCTTGTGAGATACTGCCTGCGGATCTGACTGTGCAGTAACACCAGTAAGTGCTAGGAAACTGTGATGGGCCTAAGAAAAGTGAATCCTTCTGGGGACATAGAGCACCTCTCAACCTAGCAGTTTCCTATGTCCAGAACAGTTCCTAGGTATGTTCCAGGAAAAGTCATTTATCTGACTAGCTGTACAGCATACAGACACAAACTGCAGCCAGCATATGTGCAAGCTCCTGACTTGTCACATGAATCTGAGCATTCTGACCCCCAGTGCACAATGGGAGTTAGTAGGCTTTCAAGGTACTTTGCATGAGCTTAGATATTGATCAGTTCTGCTGCTATTTGCATTACACGTGCTATTGCCTAGCAAAAAGCACGGTTCTGTTCTGATTTCATAGTTTTCATTCATTAACCTCTAATCAACAGAAGCAAATAACTTCTTCTGTGTCATCTCTATTTTACAATGCTAAAACTAGCTATTTACGTAGCTGCCTTGTGTGTAGTTCTATAGACCAGAATGCCCTTCTTATGAAGGGCTTATGGTCCAACTGCATGTGGGATTTGAGTGGCTAACCAGAATTCTCTGCAAATTATCTGTCGTTTCTTTGTAAGCCCTGCTTCCTTTCTTTACGTCTGCATTTGGACTGGGGATAATGGGCTTCCTGTATCATGCACTGCAACACAAGGAAACCCATTGTATGCGAACCAAGGGAGAGTATATCAGTGAGTGGTTTGTAAGGCAGCTCTGATGGGTCTTGTTAGAATGACTTATTCTCAGAGTTTCAGTGGTTTGATTAAGTGGATCATGTGATAAGCACTTATAATGAACTTCTTCACATGCTGCCAGGGGAAGCCCAGCAGATAAAGTGCTTAATCCCACAGCGTTGCTCTGTGCATAACAAGCTGATTGCAAAGACAGAAGAGTCATGCAATTCATTGGCTTCTCCTACTCAGGATAGCACAACAGTGTTATACAATTTTCTTTCTGCTGCCCAAGTCAAAATATTCTTCTACTAAATCCAGTTCAAACTAGCATGCTTTCCCTCCCCCAGCTCACCAAGCTCTCAACCAGGCAGGTTACAGCTGAATGTAAGCACCTGCAACAAGCCTAGGCATGCTTCTGAGTGATTTCTTTCTTATTAAAGAAAACAGTCCCCCCAGAACCAACAACAAACAAGAATGGAGCATAAACTTCTCAGCAAACCCAGCCAGTTTGTTTTAAAAATAAAAATCTAGGTCAGCCTGAATCACCACAGGGGTAATCTTCATTTCACTACCAGCAGCAGCAGAGGTCAAAAAGCCAGACTCACAAGGGGCATCTCTTGCGGTTTTGGCCGAAACCTGTGGGACCAATGACCAGGGTAAGACAACATCAGATGTGCTCTCTCTCTTCCTCTCCCCAGCTGGTGGCTCACACTCTGCAGTGCCTTTGCAGAAAGCATCCTGGCTCAGTGATGAAGTGGGATGTGCTCTTTCCAGCCCTGTCTACTGGAACAAATTGTGCTGCTTCTCCAAGGCCAGTGCCATATCCCTCACTCAGCTGCAGCTGGGTATGACAGAGAGGATACCTTTAGGAAAGTTGTCTTCAGGTCCTGGGTCTGAGACCCCAAAGAGATCTGCTCCCTGACCAGCAATACCTGCATGCTCCCATTGCCAAGGGCAATGACTACATCCATCAGGACCTGCCTGTTGCTCTGGTATGCCTGATGAAAACACCTGTGAAAGCTCTGCTACTGAGAAAAGGGCTAGGAGCTCTACTTGCACACTCAGGTGTCAGGATGGAGAGGGTGACCATTTCAGTAGTGTACGGTACTGAAGGAGCATAGGGAGATGCATGGGTGTGAGCTTTCAGTGAGGTAATTGGTTTTACTTGGGATCCTTACATCAGAAAAACAGTGGTGCACCCATGGATAATGCTTCCCTTTAGGTACTCACTGACACCAGAGCTGGGATACCAAGTGGCAGCATCTGAAAAGCTAGCTTCAGGAATGCCTGTCCTCAGGCTACCTCACTCTTGGTAATTTCACTGAGCAATTAGTTCTTTAGGGTCACTAGTGAATAACTTCTAAAGTGATCATGTTGAGAGTCCAGGTGTTAGGAGAAACAACAGGCAGAAGCAGCATGTCATGTCACCTTACCAGCAGATGTGTCCATCCTGCACATCAGCAAAAGGGTTAATATTGTTTGATGCAAGGTTGAATCAACCTGGTGGTGGTAACTGCTATGTTACTTAGAGCACTTACATTTCCCTCCCATTCTGCAGTCATAGTGAGAATGAAGGAGGGCTTGGCCTTACGCAGAAGTACAATCACTTGTGCATCATAACTAGAAAGCCTGTATGGCCACAAAGCTGCTTTTGTACAGCACACAGAACGATCTTGGTTCTGTCTGGCTTCATGTTTTGCTTCCTGCTCTGCTTGTTCTCACATATACTGGCAGCCCCACATCACTCATGCGCTGTGCTGAGCACCTCACTGAATGCCAGTTCACATAGACAGACATAGACAGCCCTGTGAGTGAGATCCTGTGCTTATAGCTTGCAGGCCCCAAAAGCAAGTTTAAGAGCATCCTTGAAATGTATTGATGTATTAACAAGCTAGGTTGGATGGCAGACTCATCACACCTAGTGCAGTGATTATAAAGAGACCCAGCAATGGAACATTTGCCAGGTGAAGAACGCAAGCACGAATATCAGATTGACTTCTTAAATGAATCAGAACATCAGACGGGAGAGGTGACGCCCTGCTTTCTGGCCTGACCTTTTGTGACTCTTATCTGTATGATAGGGAAAAATCTAGGCCTGCGACATCTCACAGCAAGCCCAGGGGATGGTAAAAAGTATTTGTTTGTTCAGGCAGTCAGCCTATAAGTACAACTGCAGTTCAAAATGTACATCAAACTTTATATATCAGTTTTCCTATACAGTGTTACTAGCGATTAAATTTCCTTAGGTCATATTATTCCTCAACTAATGAGATTGCACAGGTGTCATCAAAGGGGTAATATGATACTGATCAGATTTCATCAGCAAAATGCTGTTTCTAGCTGTGATGGCACGGGAGAAAGAAGGCCTTATTTTGATGGGTTTTCCAGCTAATAGGAATTCACGTACCTTATAGTGAGAAAAATCTTTAAAAATGCACTTTCTATGTGATCAGTAAGAACCCAGAACTGCAAAATTACGATGCTGCTATTAGATTCAGTCATCAGAGAGTAACTTAATTGTAATTCTGTAAGCCAGGTTGAAATTTGCCCTTCGAATTGTTTCCACTTGACAGGGATATCTCCTGGAAATGTTGGCTCATTGTCCTTAATCGCATTTTGGTATTTTGAGCTGAATGTACACTCCCACAGCATTTAACTCACAAGTTTGATATTTCAGATTATGTATGGATGTTGAACATGGAAGGATTTTACTCCACACTTTAAAAAGTTCAGGTAGAAGTCATTTACTCTTAATTTTATTAAGCAACTAGCACATTCTAAAAGCTGGTATTTATCTATTCTTATGTTAAATCAGTGTCTCTCCAAGCTCTGTGTGCTCAGTTTGAGAAACTGAATCCACCAAATTCCACAAGAACTGACAGATTTTTGTAAATGTGAGGCTTACTGAGGCTAGGTATTCCAAATAGAGAACCAGGCTACAGTATTTCATTCTCACTCCTCTAGCACTACATAACTCTGCTACAAAGATGCATTGTGAAATTTCAGCTTTTAAATTTTTAGCAGCTGAAGAGCATCAGTGAGCATTAAGTAAAATTTCTTTCAGACTCTGTAATCTTTGCCACATCTTTTCCTTCTACGTGACAAAACAGATAAAAGTGTTTGTGGTTTAAAACA